TGACACGGAGCCCAGAGCCCGCCTGCCGCATGCGCACGGCCGGTGCCACCTCACCAGGCTCCCTGTGCCCCCAGGCGAGCTGGCGCTGCAGGACATCAGGCTGAGGCAGGAACGAGAGTCACAGAAGCAGCAACTGGAGCAAAAGAGGCAGCTGTCCGGGCAGCACCAGCAGCAGGCCCACGAGGAGGAGCTGGGGCGCCTGAGACAGGAGCAGGTGAGCACAGCAGCTGCAGCCAGAGGAGCCCTGGCAGGCTGAGGGCTCAACCCAGACACAGTCGCACTCAAAATGAGCTGCAGAGGTTACGCCAGGGGCAGCGTACTGGGAGCACCTGTCCTGGCGACCCCCGGGGACGTGCCCCTGGGTACCGGTCCTGGAGCACAGTGACCCCCGGGGAGTGCAACCCAGGGACCTGTCCCGGAGCACGGCGACCCCCGGGGAGTGCAACCCAGGGACCTGTCCCGGAGCACGGCGACCCCCGGGGAGTGCAACCCAGGGACCTGTCCCGGAGCACGGCGACCCCCGGGGAGTGCAACCCAGGGACCTGTCCCGGAGCACGGCGACCCCCGGGGAGTGCAACCCAGGGACCTGTCCCGGAGCACGGCGACCCCCGGGGAGTGCAACCCAGGGACCTGTCCCGGAGCACGGCGACCCCCGGGGAGTGCAACCCAGGGACCTGTCCCGGAGCACGGCGACCCCCGGGGAGTGCAACCCAGGGACCTGTCCCGGAGCACGGCGACCCCCGGGGAGTGCAACCCAGGGACCTGTCCCGGAGCACGGCGACCCCCGGGGAGTGCAACCCAGGGACCTGTCCCGGAGCACGGCGACCCCCGGGGAGTGCAACCCAGGGACCTGTCCCGGAGCACGGCGACCCCCGGGGAGTGCAACCCAGGGACCTGTCCCGGAGCACGGCGACCCCCGGGGAGTGCAACCCAGGGACCTGTCCCGGAGCACGGCGACCCCCGGGGAGTGCAACCCAGGGACCTGTCCCGGAGCACGGCGACCCCCGGGGAGTGCAACCCAGGGACCTGTCCCGGAGCACGGCGACCCCCGGGGAGTGCAACCCAGGGACCTGTCCCGGAGCACGGCGACCCCCGGGGAGTGCAACCCAGGGACCTGTCCCGGAGCACGGCGACCCCCGGGGAGTGCAACCCAGGGACCTGTCCCGGAGCACGGCGACCCCCGGGGAGTGCAACCCAGGGACCTGTCCCGGAGCACGGCGACCCCCGGGGAGTGCAACCCAGGGACCTGTCCCGGAGCACGGCGACCCCCGGGGAGTGCAACCCAGGGACCTGTCCCGGAGCACGGCGACCCCCGGGGAGTGCAACCCAGGGACCTGTCCCGGAGCACGGCGACCCCCGGGGAGTGCAACCCAGGGACCTGTCCCGGAGCACGGCGACCCCCGGGGAGTGCAACCCAGGGACCTGTCCCGGAGCACGGCGACCCCCGGGGAGTGCAACCCAGGGACCTGTCCCGGAGCACGGCGACCCCCGGGGAGTGCAACCCAGGGACCTGTCCCGGAGCACGGCGACCCCCGGGGAGTGCAACCCAGGGACCTGTCCCGGAGCACGGCGACCCCCGGGGAGTGCAACCCAGGGACCTGTCCCGGAGCACGGCGACCCCCGGGGAGTGCAACCCAGGGACCTGTCCCGGAGCACGGCGACCCCCGGGGAGTGCAACCCAGGGACCTGTCCCGGAGCACGGCGACCCCCGGGGAGTGCAACCCAGGGACCTGTCCCGGAGCACGGCGACCCCCGGGGAGTGCAACCCAGGGACCTGTCCCGGAGCACGGCGACCCCCGGGGAGTGCAACCCAGGGACCTGTCCCGGAGCACGGCGACCCCCGGGGAGTGCAACCCAGGGACCTGTCCCGGAGCACGGCGACCCCCGGGGAGTGCAACCCAGGGACCTGTCCCGGAGCACGGCGACCCCCGGGGAGTGCAACCCAGGGACCTGTCCCGGAGCACGGCGACCCCCGGGGAGTGCAACCCAGGGACCTGTCCCGGAGCACGGCGACCCCCGGGGAGTGCAACCCAGGGACCTGTCCCGGAGCACGGCGACCCCCGGGGAGTGCAACCCAGGGACCTGTCCCGGAGCACGGCGACCCCCGGGGAGTGCAACCCAGGGACCTGTCCCGGAGCACGGCGACCCCCGGGGAGTGCAACCCAGGGACCTGTCCCGGAGCACGGCGACCCCCGGGGAGTGCAACCCAGGGACCTGTCCCGGAGCACGGCGACCCCCGGGGAGTGCAACCCAGGGACCTGTCCCGGAGCACGGCGACCCCCGGGGAGTGCAACCCAGGGACCTGTCCCGGAGCACGGCGACCCCCGGGGAGTGCAACCCAGGGACCTGTCCCGGAGCACGGCGACCCCCGGGGAGTGCAACCCAGGGACCTGTCCCGGAGCACGGCGACCCCCGGGGAGTGCAACCCAGGGACCTGTCCCGGAGCACGGCGACCCCCGGGGAGTGCAACCCAGGGACCTGTCCCGGAGCACGGCGACCCCCGGGGAGTGCAACCCAGGGACCTGTCCCGGAGCACGGCGACCCCCGGGGAGTGCAACCCAGGGACCTGTCCCGGAGCACGGCGACCCCCGGGGAGTGCAACCCAGGGACCTGTCCCGGAGCACGGCGACCCCCGGGGAGTGCAACCCAGGGACCTGTCCCGGAGCACGGCGACCCCCGGGGAGTGCAACCCAGGGACCTGTCCCGGAGCACGGCGACCCCCGGGGAGTGCAACCCAGGGACCTGTCCCGGAGCACGGCGACCCCCGGGGAGTGCAACCCAGGGACCTGTCCCGGAGCACGGCGACCCCCGGGGAGTGCAACCCAGGGACCTGTCCCGGAGCACGGCGACCCCCGGGGAGTGCAACCCAGGGACCTGTCCCGGAGCACGGCGACCCCCGGGGAGTGCAACCCAGGGACCTGTCCCGGAGCACGGCGACCCCCGGGGAGTGCAACCCAGGGACCTGTCCCGGAGCACGGCGACCCCCGGGGAGTGCAACCCAGGGACCTGTCCCGGAGCACGGCGACCCCCGGGGAGTGCAACCCAGGGACCTGTCCCGGAGCACGGCGACCCCCGGGGAGTGCAACCCAGGGACCTGTCCCGGAGCACGGCGACCCCCGGGGAGTGCAACCCAGGGACCTGTCCCGGAGCACGGCGACCCCCGGGGAGTGCAACCCAGGGACCTGTCCCGGAGCACGGCGACCCCCGGGGAGTGCAACCCAGGGACCTGTCCCGGAGCACGGCGACCCCCGGGGAGTGCAACCCAGGGACCTGTCCCGGAGCACGGCGACCCCCGGCAGGGGTGGGAGAAGGACAATTCCGGCCTTAGAACAAGCTGAGGGGAGAGAAACAGAAACCCGAGCAGGCGCCAGCGCGGGCCTGCGTATCGCCTGGGAACCAGAACAAACTCACAGCCTTTGAACTCCAGAGTGTGTCTCACGCCAGTTCTGCAGCTCTGCCTTCCCCATGCAGGCGTGTGCACCCCCTCGCACGTCCACATGCGCCCCCTCGCACGCCCCCTCGCACGTCCGCACGCCCCCTCGCACGTCCGCACGCCCCCTCGCACGTCCGCACGCCCCCTCG